CACTTATAGTCATTTTGTGACTTGGGAGCGCCACTCGTTATATATATAATCCAAGCGATCGGGTGGCGTACCACCCCAACTCCATACATAGATTCATCCCTGTTGGAGGTCAAAATTGGGCCTTTTGCAAATCACAGGGGCTAAGTTAGAGCTTTTCACAAATCACAAGGGCAATTTCAAACTTTTCACCATATAATATTGGTCCATTAGTGATTATAGGCAATTTAGTGCTAAATTGTAATAGAAGGCAAGAAAATAAATAAGCCAAACTTTTTTAACATAAGGCAAAGTTAGACCTTTTTGTGTAGTACAAAGGCAATTCTATACCTTTTCCCAACAAGTTAGGGGTTGTTTGGTAGGAGGTATTAGAAAAAATAATGTAAGCATTAGCTTTATGTATTACTAATACCTTGTTTGGTATATTTTTTCAATCTGTGTATAACTAAAACTTGTATTACTTATACATCATACTTTGTATTATCCTATGTATAAGTAATGCATAGAAAACTATGGCATTAGTAATATCAAGGCTATTAATGCATGCATTAGTATGATTAAAAATAAAATTGTCCTTAAAGTCCTTTAAAGTAAGAAATATGGAGGGCATTTTTTTAAACAACTATTTTTCTTAAAAATTATGCAATGCATTATAATTTTAATACACCACACCAAACAGTAGATAAGTCTGCATAACTAATGCTTGCATTACTAACTCATGCATTACTAATACACCTTATTCTGCAAACGNCCGGCTCAACCCAAATTTGCACTCGAGGTATTCTGTCTTCGTTCTGCTCAACTTGAAGCCTTTAGACTCAAGAGCATGTCTCCAAATCTCTAGCCTCTCGTTGACGCCGCCTCGTGTCTCGTNTCTGCATAACTAATGCTTGCATTACTAACTCATGCATTACTAATACACCTTATTCTGCAAACGATGCCTTATTGTGCTATTTTGTCATTGAAAGATATGTGGAGGGGAGACATGGGAGTTAACATAGTCAATTACATATAACAAAAGGGTAAAAAATACACCACAATTATGCGAAAACAACAACAACAAAAATAACAACCCAGTATAATCCCACAAGTGGGGTCTGGGGAGGGTAATATGTACGCAAACCTTACCCCNTGCAGACCCTTGGTGCAACCCCGTAATAACTGAAAAGTGTTCAGAGTCGTCTCCTACTGTCCTAACCCGAGTCTTAGCTCCAACATACATGTCTTTAATCAACCTAATATAGTCAACCGGGACCCCTTTATCCTCTAAGCAGCTCCATAAGACCTCCCTAGGAGTCCTATCGTACGCTTTCTCCAGATCAATAAACACTATGTGGAGATCCTTCTTCCTATCCCTGTACTATTCCACCATCCTCTTAATAAGGTGGATAGCTTCTGTGGTAGATCGCCCCGGCATGAACCCGAACTGGTTGTCTGAAATAGACACCGTCCTTTGCACTCTCATTTCTACCACTCTCTCCNTTTTCCCATAACCTACAACCTTAATGCTCGACCTCCATAATTCCCTGTCAAGGACCATGTCCTCAGTAATCCTAAGTCGCGCCATGTCCTGT